TTCTGTTTTATTTGTTTTAATAGTTGTAGATTTTTTTATTGTTCGTTGAATAATTTTTTTAACCTTTGTGTTGTCATTTAGTTTTTCTGTATCTGTCTGTTCTTCAATTTTTTTTTTGCTTTCCGAGCTTTAGTTAGGATATTCACTCTGCCTTTTGTCATTAGGTTTCTTGATAGACCGTCTGCATTAGTGTTAGTATTTCTTGGTTTGTATATTATGTCGTAATCATATTCTAGCAATTTAAGTCTCCACTTTTGTACTCTTGTGTTGTTATCAGCTGATTTAAATGGTAGTAGTGGTTTATGGTCGCTAACGATTGTAAATTTATTACCATAAATATAATTCCTAAAAATTTTTACTGCGAATACGATTCCTAATGCTTCTCTCTTATAGGTATGACATCGTTTTTCTGCTAGTTTCAGCACTCTTAAAACAAACGCTTTTGTCTTCTCCTATTTCGTCTTGAGAAAGTATGCATCATAATGCAAAATTTGATGCGACTATGATTATTATAAACGGTTTGTTCATATCTTTCATTATGTTCTTCCTGGAAACTAGAATTATGTCATCTATATATACGTAGCAAAAAACCCTTTTTAGTAAATTGCTGAGTGCTTTAGTCAGGATTCTTTGAAATACTCTGAGGAGTTTATCAGTCCGAATTTTAGCACATCAAATTCAAATCGTCCTCAACATACTGAATTCGGTTTTGTGTATATCTAATTCCTTCATTTGAATTTAATGAAATCCTGACACCAGACCGATTATTGTAAAGGATATATTTTTTCCAATACAATTAAAAATTTCTGTTATATTTGGTAGCAAATAGAGATCTGATATTGTTTTAGCGTTTAATATCCTGTAATCAATTAACAGTCTCTATTTCTTTTTCCCGCCTTTTGTTAACTCCTTTTTCGGTACGATTCACGCAGGTGCATTAAATGCACTTGTTGATGGTCTGATTAAGTTATTATCTATTATTTTTTGTTTGTTTCTGAGATAGCAGCTTGTTTCAATGTGTAGGGTAGTAGAAATTATTTAAAATAAATTGGTGTGCTGTAGGATTTCTTGCTCATTGCCATAGACTCTACATTTTTGCTTAATGAAACCTTTGTTCCCTATAATGCTGTTTAGCGTGAATATGTGATCTCCCATTCTCCTTCCTGTTCTAAACCGCGCCTGACTCTCTCATATTAGACCTTCCTCTTCTAGCCATGTCCTGAGCCTGTCGTTCAATATTCCCGCCAATAACTTGTATTCGACGTTAAGCAAATACTCCTCTGTAATTCTCTACCTTGTTTTCCTTGCTAGATTTATATATTAGGAATATACAAGCTTTTTCCAATATACAAGTCAGTTCCTTTATCCAGCCTTCAGTTGAGCCCTTAAAGAAGTTTTCTGGAATTCCATTCTGTCCGCTTTTCCTTTTTTTAGTCTTTTTATTGCCTTCTTAACCTCCCCTCTGATTATTTCATAACGCTTTGTTTACTCCATTTCTTTATCCCTTCACCCTCACCCTTTAGCTCGCATTCTCTTCCCTAACCCCAGCGTTTTTCTTTATCCTTCCCGTCCCTCCTTGTATCACCGTTAGTTTCTCGCTCGTTTTAGCCTTTCTTTTTCCGTGATTCTTGTAACTTTTCTGCTTCATTTTTTTTCTGAAACTTTTCATGGCTTCCGAAAAGTCCGCTTCTCTCTTGTAGTTTTCTAGTCTTGACCATTTTTCTTCAGCTAGTCCTTTCTTCTTGATATTCTCCAATTCTCTCAACCTTCTTTTTCCCTCATTATACTCCTTCCTATCGTTGTCCTCTTTGGTTATTAGGAATTAGTTCAGTTTCTTCCATATTAGACTGCTCAATTATTTGCACTCTTTGTTTTTCCATTCTCTTTCATCTTCTGCTCTTCCTGTTTCATGTGTTAATCTTTTTTGCATACCTGTTTTTTCCCCTATTTCTATAAAGATCCTTTTTATTCTCTTCCATCTTCCTTCTATGGTTTTTGTGGCAAGTTCCTCTTCTCTTCCCAGCTTCTTTCTATACTCGTTCCTCTTTTTATCATCTCATACTAATCTTGAACACATCCTCTGCGCTTCATCCTCACCCTCCTTTTCTTAACATTCTTTTAGATTTCTCTCCTCCTCTGTTTCTAGCTTGAACGTAATCAATAGATGGTCAGATGTATGTCTTCTGTCAACTTTCATGTTCCTCACAAGATGTCCCCTTTCATCCTGTCTCTCTATAATGTAGTCGAGTGTAGAGTTGCATCCTACTCCTTTGTATATTACACTGCCCGTCAATCACTTTTGCCATGTTTACCTCAAAATTAGGCAAACTTGAAAGTTTTGTATCTCGGTTGGAAATCATCGTATCACAAAAAACAGCAGGGCATGTTAAAGGTAATTGCAAAAGCTTCCATTTAACTGATTAAAAAAATTTCAATTTTTTTAACCTCAACTTAAATCAATGCCAATTTAGAACCAGGCGGTGCAGGGCAAATCGACCGGAGAGGTTCGGAGGGTAATGTCTTTCTCTTTAAAATTAGCCCCCGTGGGGTTCTATCCGATGTTTTTTAACCGAGTTACGGCATTTTTTGTAAAAAAATAACCTTTTTTTTTCAATCCTCAATTACTTCGTGCGTACGTTTTGGAAAAAAATGCCAAGGAGAAAAAAGTTTCATTTTTTGCCCAAGAATACGAAAATAAAGTTAAAATAAAGAAATAGAGAAAAAAATTTTTTTCGGTTTTTTAGCGCATTAAAAAAATAAAGGAATTTAATTTTTTTTTTACGCTTAGTTTTAGTTTTCTTGTGATTTACTACGTCCCTAGACATTTTAAAACGAAGCGTAAAAAAAAGTTAAATTCCTTTATTTTTTTAATGCGCTAAAAAACCGAAACAAATTTTTTTCTCTATTTCTTTATTTTAACTTTATTTTCGTATTCTTGGGCACAAAATGAAACTTTTTTCTTCTTGGCATTTTTTTCCAAAACGTACGCAAGTCGAAGTAATTGAGGATTGAAAAAAAAGGTTATTTTTTTACAAAAAACGCCGTAACTCGGTTAAAAAACATCGGATAGAACCCCGCGGGGACTAATTTTAAAGGGTAAAACATTACCCTCCGAACCCCTCTGGTCGATTTGCCCTCCACCGCCTGGTTCTAAATTGGCATTGATTTAAGTTGAGGTTAAAAAAATTGAAATTTTTTTAATCGGTTTTTTTACTGTAAAAAACACATATTTTCATTTTTAAGTCTCTGCACGTCTTAAATGGAAGCTTTTGCAATTACCTTTAAAATGCCCTGCGGTTTTTTGTGATACGATGATTTCCGATCGAGATACAAAACTTTCAAGTTTGCCTAATTTTGAGGTAAGCATGGCAAAAGTGATTGACGGGCAGTGTATCTCATCTTCCCAATCACCTTCCGTATTCCCATTTCTTATTGTTCTCCCTATTTCATTACAGATTTCCAATAACTTCTCTCCTTGTTTGTGTCTCTTCTTATCCTCTAATTTTTTTATTCTATCTTTATCCTCGCCATCTCTTCCTTCTCCCACTCTTATATTGAAGTCCCTTATCATTATCAGGCTATTACCGCTTTCTTTCCTTTCATTAATCACTTTTTATAAGTCCCTCTTTACGTTGTTTATCCCTTCGTTGTTGTATATTGTCACTATCTTCCTTCCTCTGCAACTTTTATCTCTTTTGCCACTACCCAGTATTTCCATTCCTTCGTCCTGACGTTTGCTGTTATCCGTTTTCTTACTCCGACCATAATCCCTCCGCTTGCTCTTTCTCTTCTCTTGGATCTTCTCGCTGCATTTCTTCTTCATATATGCTCTTCCCTTAGTTTCTTTATGGTGCTTTCCATCTTTTTCTCCCCCAGCTACGTTTTCTATAGGATTATTATGTAATATTTTTAAAGATAGTTCCATTCTGTCCAATGTTTCTAATTCCTACTATGTTCCTGTACCGGAATCAGTTGTTACGTCCTAGGCGTTAGATACCCGTTTAAGCTAACATTTAAGTCGTATCAATATTGAATCTAGTGGACGAGGTTCATTTATATTTTCCATATATATTTTAGATACGGTGTAGAAATATAAGAAAGGAGAAAGCAAAAAGATGAATGAATGAGTGTTATAATACCTGAAATCTTATCGTAGAGATGTCTCGTAGATCAGGTTTAAAAAATACAGAAATAGACTGGTTTAATATTTTCTGAACAAGTAGAGTTTATTTAAAATTTAACAAAATGTGTTAGGCACGTTTACAACTATAGTTACCAAATACACCAAATTTAGTTATGGAACGGGGGGTTTGAGATGCAGTCTTTGACTTGAACTCTTACGAACTCCTCGCTACGGTGCTTTACGAGGTTCTTATAGCTCCCGAATTTCGTTAAGTTTTCGATGTCCGCAATTTTAAGTAGTTTTTTCTTTTTTCATCACAATTTGCAGAGTAAGACTTTAGCTTGCCATATGTGTGTTTGTGGCGAGAGTTCATGAGAGTGCGATGACTTTTGCTGACGTATACAGAATTTAAGTTTCTTTAAGAGCTTGAGTTTCGGAACTTTATAAAGAAATTTAGGAGGCGCCATAAGACGTAACAATGGCTTTTAAGTTAGTAGTTTTTATTATTCTAATCGCAATGAAATGTTTTTATTTTTTGCAAAGTTATTATATGTCATTGAGGTTTTGTTAACAAAACTGTATTTATAAGAAATAATATATTATTTATTATTTTAAATCAGATGAAGTGAGTAAATTAACTAGAGAAATTTTTCTTATTTTTAATGAGTTCTGATTAATTATATTACTTAATTTTGTGATTGTATAGCTTGTTTCCATGAAAACAAAAGAAAAAACTAGGAATCATAAGTCACACGCGGTATGAATGAATACCATATTATAAATTTCACTGAAAAAATGCTTAGATTCATATCATATCTGATTTATCTAAATTTTAATATAACTGACTTTTAAAATTAATTAAGAATGATTTTTGCAGATATCGGAAAGAGCAAATAGTAGAAGGCCACACATTAGTACAAGCAATGATTACAGAACCTGATGGAACTGTCAAGGTGAAAAAAGAGATACAACATGCTGAAAAAATATATGCTACATTGAGAGAGTGTCGAGAGCAATCAGGAGTTAAAAAAAATAAGGGAATAAAAATGCAAGGGTATTTGGAAAAAAAATCAGAAAAAAACAAAAAATGGAAAGTATTATACTTTGTTCTGCTTGTTGATGCAAGTGATACGCATTTATATTTATATGATAATCCTAAAAGAACGAAACCTAAAGGTCTTATTGATTTAAGCTGTGCATATTTATACCAGGTAAACTTTCTTATTATATTCAAATTTTACAAATCATAATTTACGAGTGTAGATTGAAATTATCTATTTTCGCAAGTATTATGTTAACCAAGATGTGGTATTTCAAGATAATTAATTTTAATAATGTTTAGATGTTTTATTTTCATTTCAGAAAAAATGTCACATGTGGTTGTGAGAAAATGATACTTAACTCATTTCGGAGAATAAATTTAACGTTACTCGTTCTTTATTTTTAGCTTTAGTAATAGGAATTTTTCTTTAGGGAATTTTTAGTTTTAGTCTTAGGGTTTGGTTTAGATGAAAATCAATATTTTTGTGTATTTAGGCTACAGATTCTTTCTGTTTATATTTGCATAATCAAGCAGAATATTTGACTTTTTTAAAGACTTTTAACCCAAGGCTTTTTAATATTTCAAATATAGGAGCTTAAATATAGTATAATAGCTAATTTGATCATTTATTCGTGTCCATTAGAATCTCCAAGTTGGCATGTAAATGTACAAATAATGTAATACATAACAGAAAAACATAAAAAGAAGAATGCGCGAAGTGCGCTAAGTAACTTTGATATAAACAAATAATACAATAAATATATTATCGATATCGATAAAATTATGATATGTTATAGAGCATTGAAAAGTAAAGAAAGGAAAAACACCCCCTAAAGTCACCCTCAAAATCACATTCTTTATAATAATTTAATTTTTTAGATATTTTTTAATAAAAAAAATAGAAAAAGATTTTCATGCAGTAAGCGACATAACCGTATTGTTTGTGAATTTTAAGGATTTCATGCTTTATATTTTATAGGGGTAAAACTAAATTATCCAAGTATATTTTTCCTCCTTGCCAAGTCTATAAATCCCATAACTACGAACTTGAAGCTCACAAGCAAAAACCATATATTCCGAAATAACAAATCCCAAACAAGTCCTAAGCACATACATCCTAAGCCCGCAAACACGACAGTCGTAAATGCCAAACCCTTGAAGATAAATCTACAAGCTTCAAATTCCTTATATCTTAGAATATCACACACTCGGATCTTATTAATCCTACAAACTTCAAACTAATATGTGCATGATGGTTTATATCGTTGGAGTTTGTAGGATAGTAGATTCAAGATTTATGGGTGGGGTTTGGAGTTCGTGAGATTATAAGATTGACGTTTGTTGGTCTGTACGTTTGAGTTTCATTTGTTAGGGATTTCTGGGTTTGTAGCTTTAGGTTCGGGCTTTGCTGTTTGAGGATTTGGAGGCTTCGGTTTTTGAACTCGAGAATTGTAGACCTAGGATTTATCGATGTTACCTCCCAACCTAGGGCAGACACCAGACGCTGAAGTGTCACAAAGCGACCGCTTGTATGAGAAAGCTCATTTCAAGGCTTCTCACACAAGAATGCTTAACTGCCCAGATTTGTTGTACTCTACGATCGTGAAAAGGCACACGAGTGTCTCCGCTTCTAGGCTGACTTTTGCAAAATTGTTAAACCAGCATAATAGCGCTTGATGTGTGTTTTATAAATAGAGAGCCGCGAAACTGAGAGAGAGAGAGAGAGAAGTTCTTCTCTCTCTCAGTCTTTTGTTTCTCTCCGTCTCTCGGTTCCCACCTGATTATTCTCTCTCATTTTTTAATAGGCTCTCTCTTTCTCACCTCAGCGAGAGTTGATACATGATTTTCCTCTCGCGGTTGATTTTAAAGCGTGGAGAGCGGAATGATTAGCTGGTTGATCGGTGATGCTTATTGTCGCACTAATGAGCGACTCACCCTTTTTTTTCTTTTAATGATTGGGCAGTGAGAGTGCTTGGAAACTTTTTGGGAGAGAGTTCTCTTTTTGAGAACGATGAGCAAAAAAGGCAGATAGAGATGAGATAACCGAGAGAGATTAAATCCAATATCATGCTAACACCAGAAAGATAATTACAAAAACAAACAGAACTATCACACGCATTATTTTCGCTACGTCTCAACTCTGTTGGGAAATAAGAGCGGAAGATCGACATCCTCAGAAGTAGGTAGAGAAAAAGCAAGTGGAAGCCTTATGCTGGCTAAAGACTTCGGTAAACAACAAATGGAGGATCTGCCACTCCAACTGTTCAAAAAATAAAGCGAATTTGAAGAGCGGGAAACAGCCCTCCGAGTTGAGGAAAGGCGAATTAAAAAAGGAGCCGAGAACATTCCAAAGAAGTCTGCGTTACTCTTGCAGAAGAAAGCAAAAAAGCAATTGCTTTAGACGAAGATCTTCAAAAGCTGAAAATAATTTTTGAAAAAATGAAAATTCACTATCAGCCAACTCTTTCCGCCAAGGTTCCTACTAAGACTTCCTTAGAGGAACAAACAAAATAGTCTATTTTAGACCCGTTCACCAATATTAGAGCGATACTGACGAACTATGCGAAGAAGAATCAAACACCCAGCCAAATTACCGATATACACGACAGTACCAATCTCGGTTACAATTAAGGAGGCCTCAACAAATGCCTCTTTCAACGGCATGAACTTGCCTCAGTTCTCACACAGTTCTTACATGCGTATCGAAGCGCACAGAGGTTGATACCAGCGGGAGCTCAACCAGAATTATTCAAACTGCTTATTAATAAATTAGATAACGTGGTCTACGTGGCTATCGAGGGTCTCCGATTCACCGACTTCAAAGATTTCTCTACATAGTTAAAAGGTGTTCTCAACAAGTACCAGCATGAACACATGTGGTAAACTAACGACCATAAAAAATGAGACGAAATCAGAATTAATTTTGCTGGAAATGGCTAAGATAGATAGCGAAAGTATAGAGGGATTTCACGACGGTTTACATTTCAGTTTTCGCTGGCGTTAATTCAATTTCTTTTTAGAAAGCAAGTAGTACAAAGCGAAATAAAACTACCGAAGACACCGACGACAAGTCCGTCGATGATGACTAATCCAAAATAGCATATGAATTTGGTCGTAGTGAAGTAAATAAGCCAAGACCAGCTCATAATATTATTGAAACTTTTTTTTATAACTAAGATTAATTTATCAAAGATTTTGGAAAATATTGGTAGTAGGCTAATCGGTCTACATGAGGTCAAAGTTTTGGTTCTTTACTAAGTTTAGGAATTAAGATAATCTCTGCTATCTTCCACTGTGTGGGAAAGTAGTGGAGGCGTAATCATGTATTAAAAATAATTGTTATAAACCTCATTGCTGGTATTGGTAACATTTTAATCATTTTGTAATATTATCATATCCGGTAATAGCATCATATCCGGGGATTTTTGGAATTTTAATATTATTATTGATTTGTAAAACTTCTTTAATTTTAATCGATTTGTACTATTTTGGACCTCTGAACTTTTCAGTAGGGTTTCTTCTTATTGTTTGGTGATATTCTTCTTAATCTTTGGTGAGGTGTGAATAATGTACAAAAATGATCTAAAAACGTTTCAGCTTTTTTCTCGTTGGATTTTGCCCATTTTCTTGTAGGTCTTCTGATAGGTGGCATAAATGTAACTGGTCTTTTGATTCGTTTAGTAGCTTTCCATAGTGAATAATCTGTTGCTTCTATCGGACTCAGAGTTTTAAAATATTCCTGGATTTGTATATTTTTGTCTTCATATAACATTTTCTTCAGTTCTTTGGATGCTTTTTTTACTTTTGTCTTGTCTTGAATCGATCTATTTTTTGCTACTTTTTTCTTAGTGATCTCTTTTCTTGAATTTTTTGGACTATTACATTGAAATTGATTTGCTGTGTTTTATTGTTGTTTATATTAGTAGAATATTTGTGAATAGCTGCAGATAGAATTAAGTTTAGTGAATCGATACTGCTTTCTATGTTATTGGCTGATTTAAGAGGAACGTTCCATGATATGCGTTGCTCGATGAGACGAGTATAATTTTTCCAGTCGACTTTAGTCTGGTTGTTTACAGTATTAATAACCTGAGAGGTTAGAGTAATTAGTATCGGTGAGTAGAGATCTGAAGTTAAGTCTATACATGATAACACTTCAAAATAATTTTTATTTATCCCTTTTACTATTGCAAAGTCAATGAAATCTGGAAGCTTGTTGAAGTCTGTTGGCCAGTATGTTTGTTCTCCAAGGGGTATTAGAATATAGTTATTTTTTTGTAATTACTTTGTCTCTGTATGTTGGAGTTGGTGACCTTAAACCCCAACACGAATGTTTGGCATTATAATCGCCTCTTACTATAAAGCAATTTCCTAATGTGTTGAAAAAGTCTGTCCAATTTTCTTTGTAATTGTTTTGTTTGGAGGACAGTAAATAGCTGATATTGTTATTGGTCCGTCTTTGTCCTTGACGATTATACTGGTTGCTTGTAAGTAGATTTCACTAGTGTAAGTTTGGATATAATGGTTTATTTTTGTTTTGATTATAATAACAGTATCTCCATGTGCTTTATTAAGCGGGTGATTGGTTTTACAAAACTGTAGTTTGGTATATTAAAATAGTTTTTCCTTGTAAAGTGTGTTTTTGATATTAACATAATGTCTATATTTTCGTAGATTAAAAATGCTTTTAATTCGAGATGTCTCTGCATAAAATCGTTTGCATTCCAGATAGTGAGTTTTAGACTGTTCATTATACCATTTTGTTTACTAGTATAATTAAAGGATTTAACATAGTATCCATTCTCTGCATCAGCTGCTCCATAATATTTTCGAGCTTTTTACTTGTGTTTACTTCTGTGGTATGTCTGCTTAGCTCTTCCTTGAACAGATATTTGTTTTGATATTTCTATCTCACTTTGATCATTTTGTTTTGATGTTACTTGTACATATATTATGTTTGGTCTAACTCTATTGAAGTTGGCATTTAAATTTAAATTTGAATTTTGATAGGTTTGAACCCCTTTGAAACCGTGTTTAATAGTCGGTTTACTTTCGAAATTTCCTGGCTTGTATAATCATATTCAATTTCAACTTTGAAAAGCGGCAATGGTAATTTAGTGATACGATGCCTTATATTATGAATACTTATTAATTTTGTGACGGAGGAGG